AAGATAAATCCGTGAGGCGGATGGCCACACCGCAATCCCTTCTGCCATCTCCTCTCGGGACTTTGGGAACGCACACATCCACGTGTGTGTGTTTGATGCCACCGGGTCTGGAATTTAAACTGTGCTATTGGCTATGTGGATCGGGAGTTTTAACCACCATGCCACCTGCTGGCCCCAAAGGACGTATTGGAACCACAGAGCCAGTCTGGAGTCTCATTTTTCCCAAACAAATAAGGGGTCGAGAAGGCTCATGAGGGAACTGGCAGATGGTATAACAGCTACACCGCTGGACTCCCACATGTCAGACCATAGTTCGAGTCCTCGACCTGGTGGCTTGTTTTCTCACTTTCGCTCTCTCCCTCTCTTTCTTTCACTCTATCCCTCTGGTCAAATTAAAATAAAGTTAAATAAAATAATTATCTAGGGGCTGGCAGGTGGCGTGGTGGTTAAGGGCGTGGGATTCCCACATGGCCAACTGTGGTTCGAGTCCAGGACCTGGTGGATTGCTTTCTCACTCTCCCTCTCTCTTTCACTCTGTCCCTCTCAGGTCAAATTTAAATAAATAAATAAATAAAATCAAAAAAATAAAATAATTAAAAAATAATTATTGGGACCAGCAGTTAGTGTAATGGCTATGTCGCTGGCCTCCCACATAGTCGACCGCAGTTCACGTCCCAGACCCGGTGGCTTAAAACTCATGCCGGGCGCTTGTGCGTGTGTGCCCAAAATCCCGAGAGGAGAATGAAGGAGAAGGGATTGCGGAGTGGCCATCCCCCCAGGGGGTGATTTCTCGCTTTCTATCTCTCTGTCTGGCGAGCACGCGCGCCCGAAAGCAAAAACCTCTCCAAAAAAAAAAAAAAAAATTATTAAAAGAAAAAAAATCACACAGGGTGCGTGTGTGTGTGTGACCAAGATCCTGGGAGGAGAATGGAGGAAAAGGGACTGCGGCATAGCCATCCCCATTGGGGGTGATTTCTCACTTTCCCTCTCACAGTCTCTGTCTGTCTCTTTCTCTGGCCAGTGCATACTCCTTAGGCAAAAACCTCCCAGAAAAAAAAAAAAAAAGGTCTCTATGGGGCCAGCAGGGGGCCTGGGGGTTAAGGTTCTGGACTCCCACATGGCCCACCATGGGTCAAGTCCCAGACCCGGTGGCTTGCTTTCTCTCTCCCCGTGTCTAGTGAGTGCATGTGCCCTATGGGACACTGGAAATAATATTAAATTAAAAGTTCTTGAAAGGAAAAGCAGCAGCTTATGGAGAGGTGAGAGACAGGCCCGTGTTGGTGCCTCCTCGCTGCCCTGCAAGGTCTCTCTGGGCTCACCCTCATAGGTGGCCTCAGGTGGCAGTAAGAACCTAGCACCCTGCTGGCTTTGGCTGGGTGGCCACTGCTCTCCACGGCGGCCTCTGAGCGGCTGCCAAGGGAGCCAAAGCTAAAAAAAGGCCTCCCCGTTCTGGTGGGGTGGCAGCACATGGCCGGGGGCTTCCACCTCCCAAGCAGGAGGGGGTGAAGTGGGCCAGGCAGGGCAGAAGCCCCAGCAGTGGAAGGATCCGCAGTGTCACTGACTTCCTGCCTCACAGCCGGGGAACTAAAGCTCAGAGAACCACATGGAAGGAGCCAGGAGAACGATCAATGCCCAGGGTCTGGGCTGGGAAGCTGGGACTAATAAGAGGCTCACTTGTTCCTTTAGGAATTTTGGAATTTTCTTTCTACCACAGCAAGTATTTTTCCCCCTCTTTTTAAAAAGAATTATTTAATTTTCTTTATTATACTGAAATAAATGAATGAATAAATAATAATAAATGACCAGAGAGAGAGAGAGAGAAAAAACAAGCTGCCAGATCCAGGACTTGAACCGTGGTCAGCCACGTGGGAGTGTCAGTGCCTTAACCACCACGCCACCTGCTGGTGCCATGCCATGGCTAAGTATTACCTTGCTAAATACAGATTGAGTATCCTGTCTCCAAAATGTTTGGGACCAAAGTTTCGGATCTCGGATTGTTTTTGGATTTTGGAATATCCGCATCTATGGGACGAGATATCTTGGGGAGAGGCCCCAAATCTAAACATAAAACTCACTAATGTTTCATATATATTTCATATACGTGATCTGAAAGGTTTTCTTATTTTTCTATAGGGTGCATATGCTTGCCAGATTGAGACAGAGACAAAGTGAGAAATCACTCCCCAGTGGAGGTGGTTAAGCCACAATCCCCTCTCCTCCATTCTCCTCTTGGGACTTCGGTGGCACATACACACGTGCGTGTGCACACACGTGCACACACATACGCCCAATGTGATTTTCAAGCCACTGGGCCCAGGACTAGAACCGTGCAGTTGGCCATGGGCGATCTAGTCACACTAACCTCCCCGCCACCTGCTGACCCTCCTGAAGACATTTTTTTTTTAATTTATTTAATTCCATTTGTTATTATTATTTTTTAATTTGACTAGACAAAGACAGAGAGGAAAAAGCAAAGCAAGCTGCCAGGTCCAGGACTCGAACTGCCATCGGTTATGTGGGAATCCAGCGCCCTTAGCCACCACGCCACCTGCCGGCGCCCCTGAAGACAATTTCATACAACAGTTCCGTATGACAGTGTTCTGACTGCGATCACATGAGGTCAGACAGGGGCTTTTCTGCTAGGGGCCTCAGGTCAGCACTTGGAAAGTTCTGCATTTTGGAGTGTTTTGGATTTTAGATTTTTGAGCGAGAGATGTTTCAACTTGAAATGACGATAGTAGCTACTGTCCTAAGGGCAGAATGGACAGGAAGTAAATGACCCTCCGGACTACCCCAGGGGTGGATGCTATTTATATTCATCATTGGAAAAACACAGGGCGATCAGATGACTCACTGCCTGGACGCCCCCCAGCACATCCGTGGTACAGAACCGGCGGGAAGGAACTGGATGGCGGTGCAGCAATAAAATGTCATGTTCTAGAAATGCTGACCCGCATGGGAAAGTCCCAGGTTCAAGTCCCGAGACCTCCCTGAGTACACCAGACACACGTGCGCTCACAATCCGGGGCTGGCTAAGGTTAGGGGTAGACTGCACATTAAAGCCCTGTGGGGGAGGGAACCAGCAGGTGGCGTGGAGGTTAAGGCGCTGGACTCCCACCTGGCTGACCACGGTTCCAGTCCCAGACCTGGTGGCTTCCTTTCTCACTTTCTCTCTCTCTCTGATCAAATTAGAAAATAATAATTAATAAATACAATTAATCAAATAATTCTCTTTTTCAAAAAATACTTAATTTTTATTTATTCATTGATATATTTTAATTTGACCAGTGAGAGATACACAGAGAGAAGAGAAGGAAAGTGAAAAAACATGCCACCAGGTCCGGGCTGTGAACCACAGTTGGCCATGTGGGAATGTCCAGCACCTTAACCACCACGCCACCCGCTGGTCCCAATCATTCTTAAAAAAAATAAAATTAAATTAAAAAGACTGTCGGGGGATGAGCAGGTGGCACTGGACTCCCATGTGGCCAACCCAGTTCAAGTCCCAGACCTGGTGGCTTCAAAATCACACCAGGTGTGTGTATACCCGTACCCAAAATCTCAAGAAGAGAAAGGAAGAGAGATTTCGGCATGGCCGCCCCCACTGGGAGATGATGTCTCACCTTCCTTCTCTCTGTTTCTGTATGTCTTTCTCGGGTGCATGCACGTGCCCTATAACAAAAACCTAAAAAAATAAAAAGACCCCCTTGGGAGTGTTTCTTGGACTCTCTCTCATGGAAGGAATAACCACGTTTTGTTTGGTGGGCCAACAGAGAGCTCAGAGGTTAAGGCAGCTGGATCCCACGCGGCCGACGGTGAGGTCTGCATGCTGGACCCAGGGCTGGAAGACACACACTGGCCCTATGTGAGTGAGTGCCCAAAATCGTAAGGGGAGAGTGAAGGCGAGGGGATTACGGTGTGACCATTCCCCTGCGGAGCGAGTTCTCACTTTCCCTCCCTCTCTCTGTGTCTCTCTCCTGTGAGTGCACACACCCTAAGCAAAAACTAAAAAAACAAATTTTGGTTTTTAAAAATTTGCCAGAGGGCCTATGTGCTCTCTGCAGAGACACAGAGCGAGAGAGAGGGAAAGTGAGAAAGCAGCTCCCCTGGAGGGCAGTCACACTGCAATCCCTTCTCCCTCCTCTAGGGATTGTTTTTCTTTTTTGGGGGGGGGGTCGTAGGTTTTTGCTATAGGGGGCGTGTGTTCAACAGAAAGACAGAGAGAGACGGAAAGCGACAA